TCCCTTCCCTTCCCTTCCCTTCCCTTCCCTTCCTTTGGGACCTATGTGCTCAGGGATGTGCAGATGGAGTGATGCCACATGTGTCCCTGTGTCACTTGTTGAAGCACCAGGAGGATCTGTGCAGCCCCATTCTGGCAGTGTGTGCTGTGGCTCGCGGTGTGTGAGCAGCCCTCTGCTTTTCTAGGTCATGGCATTGCTGCTGTGCTGGATGCCGCCTGGCACCGCTGACGTGGGGATTTGGCCCCAAGGAGGCAGCCCTGGGGTGGCCAAGCTGTGCTGTGCTGAGCGTCTGGCTGTGGTTTTGGGGTGGGTGATGCTGATAGATGGGGCATGTGGTGTGGGACTGGCGCTGAGCGGTGCTTTGGGGAGGCACTGGGAGCAGTGGGGGCTGAGCCCTTCCCCACAGCGGCTCGGTTTGGAGCCAGGCTGTGGGAGCCAGCATTGGTGCTCATGTGGTCCCAGCACAGAGGAGGTGGGGAGGAGCGGGGCGGCCACAGCTGTCGTCACTGTCACTGTGGCTCTCGCTTGGCTGCCCCCTGGCCGCCCTCGTCGGGTTGCTCAGAGCCCCATTCCCCAGTGGGGTTTGGCACCGCGGACACTGGAGGCGGCGTCAGCCCCTCTGTGCTGGAGCCTGGCAGCAGTTCCTCCTCGAGGCCTTTTCTTCCCACACACTGCTTTTGATCTAAGGAGTTCGCCAGGAGCTGAGAGCTGGGATGCTACAAACCTCAGTCTGAGCTGGAGAGAAAATGGACACAGACCTGTGGGTGCTGCCATCATTGCCTGCATCCAGGCTATTTCTATATGGAACCACGGGAATCGATGGGTTTTCCTTCACCTGGGCTGTGCCCATCGCTGCTGAGTGACAGATATGGGGCAGGACAGCCCCGTCCCCACAGGCTCCCTGTACTTTCCGTGCCCCACAGGAGGGGATGCGGCAGCCCCACACTCGGACGGATGCACGGACCTTTTGGGACCTGCCTACTTTGATGCCTCAATGCTTCTCCAAGGGAATTTGGACCAGGGCCCTGCAAATTCACTTCCTACCACGCTGCCATCCTCTAATGGGGACGAAGCTGGCCTGGAGCCACCCGACTCGGTTGCCAAACATCAAGGCTCCGTCTTTCCTCTGTGCTTGCAGGGGCCACCGCGTCCCTCTGCTCTCAGCCCATCTATTCATTCTCAATGTCTGCCGAAAGCTGGGTGGATCCAAGCTCTTCTCCTCCCCAGAGAGCAGCACCTCGGAGGCTCCCGACGCATCCAGCTCCAGACAAAACCAGGGACTACTGAACCCCCACCCCACACGCATCCACTTACTGCCGCTGCCTGAAGGTCTGGAACCCCAGTTTGGTGACCTCCTGGAACCCCCTGCCCCTTGGCACGGTGTCGGGGGGGCGGGGAGGAGGGGCAGGACGGGTCTGTGCAGTGGGAGCAGCGTCCCAGTGGCACTGGGATGGCAGAGGGAGCAGCCCAGTGCCGGACTTGGGGGGGCCTCACTGCTGATGGGGTGTGGGCTGTGCTCACACCATTCCCTGGCAGAGCGCAATCCTTAATCCCAGCGGAGATCCCCCCTCGCCGTCTCCCGGCCTTGCTTCTGGAGCGGAGTTTTACCAACAGCAGTTAAGTAAAATAAATAAAAAGGCCTGTGCTTGCCAGTGGTAGCGCGGCGCGGCCACTGATTGGCAAAGCGGCCCCATTAATTACGGCTCCGCGCCGCTGCCAGCCTGCGTGCTTCAGGAACGGCGGTGGCAGCGAGCCGGGAGGCACGGCGCTGCGGGGGGGGAGGAAACGGGGAGCGAGCAGGGAGAGGGGCGGCAGCGGGGGCAGGGGGGGATGCGCTGCAAAGCCAACCCCGAGCCGAGCGCACACGGGTCGGTGCTCGCGGCGGCACCAGCGCGCAACGCCTGGGCGCACACGTGTGCACGTGCGTGCTTCGCAGGGTGCCGCGTTCCGGGGGGCCGAAAGGGGGGAAGGCTGCGTTTTCGGTGCTCTGCTCTTTCATCCGGCGGAGCTCAGAGCCTGAAGGAGGGATGGAGAGGCCGCGCCGGCGCTGGGTGCGGGCGGCAGCGGGAGGTGAGCGCAGGGGCGGCTCTGAGGCTCCCGCTGCCTTTGAAGCAGAAGCGAAGATGCCAGGAGTGGGAGGCGGGCGGCTCACCTCGTGGGGAAGAGCTCGTTAGGGAGCTTGGTTCGCCGGCGGTCAGCGCTGGGCAGCTGCGATGTGCTGCGATGGGATGGAGGCGCTCCGTGCCCGCAGCCGCGTGGCTGTGCGTCCTGCGCCGAGCCGTGCCGCGCTGTGCCGAACCACCCACCGTCCCACTCCTCCTGCCGTTGCTTTCCAGCCCGCTGCCCGGTGCTGCAGCGCTGCCCCGCGCCGTGCCCTGCCCTGCTCCCTCACCTCCCGAAGTCCCGCTGACCGCGTGTCTCATTCAGCCTATTAACAGAACACTGCCCGGCTGAAAAGCGTGTCGCTTAAAACCCAAATCTCCTTTACTTTGCCATTAATCGTTTCTCAGATTATTAATGCTGGCAGGATTTAGTGACGCCCGCTTATCGCTTTTGGGGCGGTGTCTTTGTTTCTACCGTTGCCTGGCACAGAGAAACCTCTGCTCCCAGCACCGGGGCTGGGCAGATGGAGCTGTGCGGGGTCCCCCATGAAGTCACCATTAATGCAAAGATCTTCAGGAAAACAGCCTGTGAGCACAGCCGGGGTGTTGCGGTGCAGGGCAGCGCCTCCTCCTGCTGCTGGAACCTGGAGCGATGCAGGATGCCGGCAGCAATGGGGAGATGTGGGATCCCAGTGGTGATGGAGCGCTGCCCACTCCCCAGCGGAGCCGCCACGCCTCCCCCTGTGGCACAGCGCTGTCATTTCCATGCCGTCGTTTCCCGGCTCTGTAATGGCTCTTTAAAAGCTTTAATTAAAAACCCAGCCCTCCCCTCAGCCCGGGCGGGGAAACAAAGGGAGATGAGAGGGGCTGGAGCAGGCTGCAGTGTGCCAGCGGTGCCAGCGGTGCCAGCAGCAGCTCCCACAGCCCCGTGAGGCGCTGGGATGCAGCAGATCTCCGGGGGCAGCGGGGATCCCTGCAGCCCACAGCTCCCAGCATGGCAAGGTGTGTGCTGGGCTCTCCCCTGCACGAGGGATGGGGCCATTTTGGAGCACTGGGACGGCGATGCTGCACGGCGCGATGTCCCCACGGCGGTGCCAGGTAGGGCTGGTGGCAGCCTCGATGTCCCTGAGCCTCTCTGCAGCTCTGTGTCCCCGCGGGTCACTCGGTGCCCCAGCTGTTCAATATCTTCTCAGGCTCAGCGTGAGGCCCAATGAAATATTTTCACTGCAGCGGCAGCAGCACTCACTGCAGGGAGCGGGGCTGGTGCTTAACAAGGCCTTCGGCAGCGGCTGTGCGCTGATGCTGGGAGCATCCTGGCCCTGCTGTGGGGCTGGGCTGCGGGATGCTCCTGCAGGGCAGCGTGGTTGGGATGCAGGGAGCCGTGCTGGCTGTGCTGGCAGAGGGGTCGAAGTGTTCCCTGCTCGCTGCTGCCGGGTGAGGGAAGCAAGCACCATCTTGTGTCCCTGCCAGGCTGCGGGAGCCCCGCGCTCAGCTCGCTGCAGAGTGGAGCGTGTCCCCATCTGACCTCCTCCTCCCCTTCCTCCTCCTCCTCCTCCTTGCCATCCCTAAAGCTGCACATGGTCAGATCCTCCAGGGGACCCCGTGATCCTGACGGTGTCTGTGATGCCTGCAGGGCTCTGGCAGGGGAACGGCGCAGCTGCTTGTGGGGTCTCCCGTTGAACGGGGCTGGAGCAAAGCAGTGCTTCCATTCATTCCCCCCCATTTTACACCTGGGGGTCCCACCTCCATCCTGCCCAACTGCCGCCTGCCGTGCCTTCCTCCCCGTGCACGTGCTGCCGGCACTGAGCCCCTGTGCCTGTTGCATGTGAGCTGGATTATTTTTAGCTCCCTAATGTGCCCTGCACCGCTTCAGCGCAGCCTCAGCCGCAGCTCCGGCTCCTGCCCTGTGTAGGGGAAGCCCGGCTGCCAGCAGTAAGGATTTGGAATGTGGAAGAGCCTGAGGGTGAAGGGGCACCTCCCAGCCCTCTCCAGTTGTCCCCTTGCCCCACAGAGCAGTGCTGATGGGCGATCGGTGTCCTTGGCTGCTGTAAAGCTGCCCTCTGGTCCTGCTTAAAAAGGCCACCGCGTGCATTATTTTGTTAATGAGTTCTTAAACAGCTATTGACAGCAGTGCTCTGCGTGCTTGGTGTGGTACCCAAGAAATAGGTGTTGGAATGATAGCTCGTCCCATGCTGGGGTTTTGGTGTGGGAGGTGTGGATGCCGTGACAGCAGGGCGTCCCAGTGAGCTGTGGGGTGCAGGGGGGCTGCAGGATGAGTCCAGAGTGCTGTGCCTGCTGGGCAGTGCTGGTCGGGGCTGCAGGAGGGATCCCTGCAGAGGCTGTCGATCTCAGGGATGTGCGTGGAAATGGGATGGCAGCAGGGTCCTGGGTGCTGTGCAGAGCCTGGGGGCTGTGTTGCAGGGGGTGGCATTTCCCACGGTGACCCCCAGCATCTGTTCACTGCACAGCTCCTGCCCTTGAGCGAGCAGGGGCTGCAGCGTTGGTGGCTTTGGCTCACAGCTGCCATCATGGAGGTCACCGCAGCACAGTGGGTTGGGGCAGCACTGGGTGAGGGCTGTCCCCTGGGGGCTGGGGACACCCGATGTGCCTGACCCCCCCTGCACCAGCTCCGCACTCCTGGTGCAGCTCCCTGTAAGCATCCATCTGCCTGCCCATTTGTCTCGTCTGCTTATCCATCCGTCCATCTCTCCCACAGGGCAAATGCCATAGGATGACCGCTGCTGGTCCCCTCTTACTGGCTGTGATATCGTCTGTCCTGTGGCTCACGCGGGGCTTTGACCCGGCTCCCAGCGCCTGCTCCGCTTTGGCCTCCGGCGTCCTCTACGGCTCCTTCTCTCTCAAGGACCTCTTCCCCACCATCTCCTCCGGCTGCTCCTGGACCCTGGAGAACCCCGACCCCACCAAGTACTCTCTGTACCTCCGCTTCAACCGTGAGGAGCAGGTGTGCACCCACTTCTCGCCCATGGTGCTGCCGCTCGACCACTACTTGGCCAACTACACCTGCGAGCCGCGCACGGAGCCCGCCAGCCCCCCGCCCTCCCCACACCCCGAGGAGGAGGAGGAGGAGGAGGAGGGCGAGGAAGCCGAACTGGAGCTGTGCGAGGCCTCGGGGCCCTTCACCTTCCTGCACTTCGACAAGAACTTTGTGCAGCTGTGCCTGGCGGCGGAACCCGAGGCTGCCCCGCGCCTGCTGGCCCCACAAGCGCTGGAGTTCCGCTTCGTGGAGGTGCTGCTCATCAACAACAACAACTCCAGCCAGTTCACATGCAGCGTGCTGTGCCGCTGGCTGGAGGAGTGCCTGCAAGCCCCCGGCGCCCGGCGCTGCGGCCTCACCCACGCGGGTTGCAGCTGCCAAGCAGAGAGCCCCCCGGCACCGCGGCACAACGGCACACGGCTCCCCACCGCCCGCACGCCTGCCCCGCCGCCCGCTGCCACCCCCCAGTGCTGCCCCCAACCTGAGCTGCATTCTGCCAGTGGCAATGAGTTCGAGCTGCCCGAAGTCCCCCATGGTGAGTGGGGCGTGCTGGGGGGTGGTGGGATGGGGTTTGGGGCCAGAGACAGAGCGGGGATGGTGCAAAGGGTGGATCTAGTTCATGCACACTCCTGTCCCTCATTGGGCACTGTGCTCTGAGCAGGGAGAATGTGAATGGATGGATCCTGACCACGCACGCTCCTCGGGAATGGAGGTGCAAATCCACATCTGGTTGTGGAGCAAGGAAATATGCGAAGGATGGATCTTGCTCATGCAACTTCTCAAGGTTGGGGGGGGGATGCAAAATGGGCTCTGCACTGAGCAGAAACACCACGCAAAGGATAAATCCTGCTGCATACACTTCCTGAGACAGGAGGGTGCCCAGCGTGCGTAGCGCACGGAGCTGAGAACCCACACGAGTGGTAAATCCCTCCCGTGCCCACTCCCAGCTCTGGGTGCTTCTCTCTGAGCAACACACTGAGCTCCCAGAGCTGCAGCTCGCTCTGACCAGCCCAGCCCCTGCGCTTTGCCACGGCTCTTTGAGCACAGCCTGTGCAGCCCCAGGGCCTCGCTCTCCTCCTGCGCGGCCGCGCTTCTGCTCGCCTGACCGCGAGCCCGGAGCAGGAGCGCTGTCACTCTGCATTGGTGCAGACGTGGAAAACAATTTGCAGGTAAAATGACCCTTTCCCACGGCAAATTACCCTTGACTGCTGCAGCCCGTGCTCTTGTTATTCCAGGCAGGATGGCACGGCCGGGCTGTTAACCAGGCACAGCAAAGCCATTTGCTCAGGATGGAATTGCGGCAACAAATTGCAAGCAAAGCAGTCGTGCCCCCCCTGCCCTGAGCCACGGGGCTGGGCTGCTGGGGAGCCTCCCATCCCAACGCGCCCTTTGCACGTGGCGCCATCCCTGGTGCTTTTGGAGCACGTCTGGCCAGATGTTGTTCCTCTGTGCCAGCCCCAGGCGATGCAATGAGGAGCTTAGCTGCTCTCTCTTTATCCAGGGCACCGCTGCTCCCAGCAGATTAGGTGGTGGCGATGGGCTGTGTGTATATATATAATTTCATTGGGCTTTAGCATTTATTTCAGGAGCTAAATGTCATTACGGGCAGATCCCCCAAATAAATCCCCGGTCCGTTTCAGCTGCGTGGCTATAAATCGCCTCATCCCGATGGGAGCTCCTTGATCTGATTTTTTTTCTTCTCCCCCCCCTTCCCTCCCCACTTCAAATGCAACTCTGCATGGGAGGATTAAGAGCTGAGCGCCGGGTCCAGGTGCCATCCCATTGCGCTGCGTCCCCGTTGCACTGCATCCCCACGCACACCGGGCGCTCACGTGCGTCACTGCGCCCGGAGCACAGAGCATCCTTCATGGCAGCGAGGGGTTGCTCCCACCTGGCCTCCCCCGAGCCCCCCGGGGGGAGAATGGGCTCCTTTCAGGGCGGCAGCGGGGCTGGGGCTGAATGGCGCCTGTGAGCAGAGCTTGGCGGGTGCCCAGCACTGATCTCACCGGCTCTCCTCCGCCGAGAGCCGCAGCCGTTCGGGGCTGGCATCGGCCCAGCAGCTCCCAGGGCCTCCCCGTTCCCAGCCACGGCGGTGCCACGGGGTCCCCGTCCCCAGCGCTGTCCCCTTTTACACTGTGGGAGCCAAAGGGATGCAGCCCTGTTCCCAGCTGTGGCGGTGCCATGGAGTTCCCATCCCCAGCGCCGTCCCTGTGCACCACGAACCCAAAGGGATGCAGCCCCCGGAGTGCAGCATCGTGTGGGTGCACGAGTCCACACAGGCTGAACTGCCCCACCGGGTGGATGGAGGCTCGGGGCATCATGAAGTGACTGCTTGGGTCATAGCTGTGCTGCCCATATTTCTGCCATTGGGCTCTCAGCCCTCCAGCTGTGCAGCTCATGGGGCCGCGGTGCCCATTCCACCGAAACCACTGCCCCACAGCAGCCCCCGCCATGGCAGTGATGCTGTGGGCTCCCAGCTTTCAGGGACATGGCCACCGTTGGGGGGGTCAAACTAAAGGACCCCCTCCTCACAGCAGCGGCGTTATGGGGAACCCTGGGTCAGGTGCTACGGGTGCAGCAGGGTCTGGGCATGGCTGCGGGCAGAGCCCTGCAGTGAGGACTGGGGATTTAGTGCTCTCCAAAGAAAATTGAATTTGGTGTCTCTGTCGAACACAGCTGGGCAGAGCGCCCTCATATATCCTCTGGATTTATGGCTTCCCCGGGCTCTCGCGGGGATGTTTGTAATTGCACTGTGCTGTTCTCAGGGCCGGGTGGCCCTATGGCTGAGCAGCACCTGGTGGTCCCCCGTGTCCCCATGTGCTGCAGAGTGGCGCATGCAGAGCGGGGCTGCGTCCCAGCACAGGGCAGAGCCAGGCCGGGTCATGAAGGCGAGTCGGTAAATTTGAGTCTATCTTCTGGCACTGCAAAGTGACAGCACAGGAGGTGCTCCGTGCCTGCAGCCATGGATCACCTGCGTGCATGGCACAAGAAGCACAGCTGGGTGCTCCACATCCCCGTGTCACCTCCTGTCCGTCCCATGGGGACGTCGCTGTGCTGAGGTGGTCACTGGTCACACCATCCCAGCTGGCCCGGCAATGGGGTGCAGTGGGGCTTCGGGCTGTGTGTGCCACCTACACCCTGATGCCTGGGGACATCGGTGCCACCTCCATCCCGATGGCACCGCGCTGCTCCCACCGCTGGGATCACGTCGGTGTGCTGGATGTGGGGACACAGAGGGATCCCAGGAGGATCTGGATGGGGAGATGGGGTAAGGCTGCCCCCGTGCCTCTCTGCTGAGCCCTCTGTGTGCCAGTTAATTTCACGCCAAACGCTCTTGATGGATCTCTTGTTATTTTTGGTGAGCTGAGCCATAAATTTGTGCCACCTCACTGCAGCAATCTGTTCGGTGGGGAAGGGAGAGCGCCGCCGCTCGCTGCCATTCGGGTGCCCAGGGGTGCACTGGGGACATCGGTACCCTGGAGCGCGTGGATCGATTTCAGCCCACGCGACCAAAATGCAGGGGCTGGCAGAGGTGTGGTGCATTTTGAGGCTGTGGTTGTGCTCAGCCATCTCTGACCCTCACACACACCGTGAAGCCGCACAGTGCTCAGCATGGGGCTGGGCATCCTCATCCCACTTCACAGCATCTGCACCACATCCCATCCCCGCTCTGTCCCCATGTCCCTGTGCCCATCCCCATATTTGCTGTCCCCACAGTGTCCCACCCCCGTGCCCGCCCCCCTCCTGCTCTCACTGCAGCCCTTCTCTCTTCCAGGCAATGCTGTTGAGGAGAACCAGAAGGTGAAGACGCAGTGGCCGCGGTCGGCGGATGAGCCAGGGGTGTACATGGCCCAGACAGGTACAGTAGGGTGAGGGATGGGTGGCTCTGCACAGGGTGATGGGTGATGCAGACAGAGTGACTTCCTTTGCTTCCAGCCCACGGACAGACTTCATTTGTTCCATTTATACATTTTTCCTCTGCGCCTTCCTCCGAGGGTTGTAAAGCAAAAAAAAAAAAAAAGAAAAGAAAAGAAAAGAAAAGAAAAGAAAAATCTATTAATTGTTTCGTTCAAATGTATTTATTTGGCAAATTCATCTGGGTAATTGGAGTGCTGTGCTCCCCCTCCCCAGCACCTCCTGATTGATGGGCCTGGAGGCGAGCTGGGAGATGGATGGGCCCCAGCACTGCTCCGTGTGCCCAGCATGCAGATCTCCCACAGCCGGCTCCTACCCCATGGAACTGCTGGGTGCAGCCTGGGGCATGGGAACACCCACTGTGGGGGGCACCCAGCCCCACTGCCACCCCAAATATGACCCCATGGGAGGGATGGCCCCATCGCCCCATGATGCAGGCAGCTCGGAAGGAGCAGAGCCTGCCTGCGGGACAAATTCTGTCCCCTTCAGAGCCTTTTTCCATGTATTCCTTTTTAATTTAAACTGATGGCCTTTTCTTCTGGTCTGTCCGATAGCTTCAGGTAGATCATCAAGCTTCATCAGAGCTGGGTGCTTGCAAATGTCAGCAGTGTGGCTGTGCGGGGAGGGCGGGCGGTGCTGCATGCCGCAGGTCTCCCAGGGCACCCAGAGGTCGTGCAGGGCTGGGACTCCACACAGGGTCAGATCTGCGCAGGGACTCTGAGAAGTGTCAGATCTTGAGCCCTGACCCTTTTTCCAGGCTTGGGAGCAGCAGTGCCATAGCGGGGGCTCCTTCACCCTGCTTGCAACCTCGGCGTGCTCGTGCTCGCTGTGCCTGTGGATGCTGCCCGTCTCCAACCCCGTCCCCAACTCCAACCCCATCCTCAAAGGGTCCGCACGACTCTCCCCACGCTGTCCCCATCCCTCACACCCTGTCTCCCCTCAGGGGACCCCGCGGCGGAGGAGTGGTCGCAGTGGAGTGTCTGCTCACTGACGTGTGGGCAGGGCTCCCAGGTGCGGACGCGCTCCTGTGTCTCCTCTCCATACGGGACGCTGTGCAGTGGGCTGCTGAGGGAGACACGCACCTGCAACAACACGGCCACCTGCCCAGGTATGGGGCAGCGGGGGGACGTGCAGGGATGGGGACAGCAGCGCTGTGCGTTTGTGGAAAATGGGGGGAGCGAGGATGCGGCTTTGTGCAGCTCGTTTCCCCATCATCTCACCTTCCCTGGGGCATCGAACCCGGGGAGCGCTGTGCCTGGGGAACAGTGCAGTGTGTGCGCCCCATGGCGTGGGGCTGGGGTCGGGAAGCCACCGGTAGCTGATCCCAATCTGTGCGTGGCAGGAGGTGGCCAAGCTGCCTGGTGCTCATAGCAGGATCACGGGCAGGAGCAGCAGGATGGATGCCTGCTGTGCCCTGTGCACTAAGGGGGCTGTGCATCTTGTGTGGGGCTGCAGGGAGCAGTGTGTCTGCAGCAGGCAGGCTGTGCACTCCATGACATGTGGGTGCTCCCCTGGGTGCGGGAGCTGATGGGGACATCTCAGCTCACAGAGCATCCTTTAGGATGCCTGGGGAGCTGCACGGTCCCTGGCTGCTTCCAGATGAGCTGAGCTCATGTAATGTGCACACGCACAGAGGCTGTGCACATGGTTTGGTGCCAGGGTGAGCAGGCACAGCATGCACACACCACTGGGAACCCAGCAGGGAAGCTGGAGCTGGGCAGGGAGCCACGTGGCATCGCTGCTGCCTGCTTGGAGCTGGTAGGGCACAAAGGTGGGGAGGGTACAGCTGTGCCATGGGATCATGCCCAGCGGTGCCCCCAGGCACAAGGGGTCTGCAATGTCCAGGACCCCTCGGTGCCAGGAGGAGGGGAAGCAGGGAGGCTGCAGCCCAGGGAGCCAGGTGTGCCGTGACGGCCTTGTGCTGTGTTGCAGTTCACGGTGCCTGGGAGGACTGGTCCCCGTGGAGCCTGTGCTCGGTGACCTGCGGGCGAGGGGCCAGGACCAGGACGCGGCGGTGCGTGGCCCCGCAGCACGGAGGGAAAGCCTGCGAGGGCCCCGAGCTGCAGGCCAAGCCCTGCAGTATCGCGACCTGCCTGGGTCAGTACCACTCCCCTCTCCCCCTGCTCCGTGTCCCCAGCCCTGGGACAGCCAGGAAAAGAGCTGAAAGTGAGGGCTGTGCTCCCGGCACAGGGGCTGCAGTGATGCAAGGTTCAGGCATTGCAGCCACGGGGACATGGGACAGCATGGGGAGGACACAGGGGTGCATCCCACGCAGTGGTCCCCATGGAGAGCCAGCCGTGCTGCAGGGCCCGGAGTCCCCACCATGGGCACGAGGAGCCATCCCCAGAGTGTGCTGCACTTGGGGTGGCACGGGAACATCGTGGGGCACTGGGGAGGTGCTGGAGGCAGCGGAGGGCTCTGGCTGCGTGTCGGAGCTGTGGAGATGCTGTCGGAGATGCTGTGTCAGAGCCGTGGGCTGCAGGGACACCCCGTGTGAGGTGCAGTGATGCAGGAGGAACGCGAGGTGCACTGCGTGCACCCAACATCCTCGCCACGCAGGGCTGCGTCCCCAGCTGCGCGTTGTGGCTTTTGTCACCCGGAGTGCTGGAATCTGTCGGAGTTCATGGTGCAGAGCGGTGCTGCGGCATTGCTGTGCCGTAGCAGCAGTGCTGTGGGGTCGGGGTCGGTCCTGGTGAAGAGACCCTGGTGAGGGCACAGCTGGGTGCTGCCAGCTCAGCTTGGCCACGTGAAGCGGCGCGTCGTTAGGTTGGACCCGTTGCACGCAGAGCGCGGTGCGGGCGGTGGGCAGCTGGGGCTGCGCGGGCATTGACCCATTTCTCTCACTTTGTCCCCACAGTGGAAGGGCAGTGGTTGGAGTGGGGCGCCTGGAGCCGCTGCTCCGTCACCTGCGCCAACGGCACCCAGCAGCGCACGCGCAAGTGCAGCGTCTCAGCCCATGGCTGGGGGGAGTGCCGGGGAGCCCACGCCGATGCCCGCGAGTGCTCCAACCCCATGTGTCCCAGTAAGGCTCCGTGTGCTGGGGGGGGGCCGGGAGGGATGCGGCATGATTCTGCCTTAATGCTGCTGTGGTGTCGCTGTCGGTGTTGCGAAGCTGCTGGCATGCTTGCGGGGTCACCGTTGCGGAGGGGGGTGCATGGGGAGCAGGACAAAAGCACAGTGCTGGGGTGCAGCAGCCGCCCAGCTTGCGCTGGTTGCTCCCTCCAGCTGGAGGAGATCTCTGTGCTGCTCATCCCTGCTGCTCCTTGCACCGTGCTGAGTACCCATCGGTACCTGATGGCTGCAGGTCCTGGTGCACGCAGCGCAACGGTGGGACTGAGATCTGACCCCGTCCCACTGCCCCGCAGGGTCCTGGGGATCAGGAATGGGGACACGGGGCTAACGGCTGTGCCCTGTCCTCCCCCCCGTCCTTCATCTCTCCCTGCATCAGCTGCAGGTGGAGGGAACTGGGTGTAGGGTGGGCTGGGTGCCCTCAGGCTGCCAACAGCGGTCCTGCAGGGGGGGGACCTTTCTCTTGTTGGAGAGATTTAAGTTACTGACTCTGCAGTCAGCAGCGCAGCGGGAGCACAGCCCTGCCCCGTCCCCATCCCTACATGGCACTGGGTGTCGCTTGTCGCGCTCAGCAGCCCGGGGCCCCCACGGTGTCCCTGTCCCCACAGCCGACAGCAAGTGGGGCCCCTGGAACCACTGGAGCCTCTGCTCCAAGACGTGCGACACGGGTTGGCAGCGCCGCTTCCGCATGTGCGAGGGCACCGGCGTGCAGGGCTACCCCTGCGAGGGCACGGGCGAGGAGGTGAAGACCTGCAATGAGAAGAAGTGCCCAGGTACGGGGCAGCCCCCAGCGCCCACCCAGGGGCCGGGGCTGTGTCTGACCCCCTTCCCGCCCCACAGCCTACCATGAGATGTGCAAGGACGAGTACGTCATGCTGATGACCTGGAAGAAAACCGCAGCGGGGGACGTCATCTACAACAAGTGTCCTCCCAATGCCACAGGTGAGGGGTGTGGGGCGAGCTTCCCCCCAGCCCTGGGGGTGCTGCCATTGAGCCCCCAGCCCTTGTTTCCCCTGCAGGGTCCGCCAGCCGCCGGTGCCTGCTGAACCCCCACGGGGTTGCATACTGGGGTGTGCCCAGCTTCGCCCGCTGCATCTCCCACGAGTATCGATACTTGCATCTCTCAGTAGGTGCACGCTCCGTCCCCTGTCCCCGTGGGTCCGCAGTCCCCGTCCCTTGCTGTCCCCATGCAGGGTGGGTGTCCCCTTAGCACGCTTCCTGCTCCACAGGGTGGTTTTTTCGTCGCCCTGTGGGTAACCACGTGGGGAAACTGAGGCAGGGTGGGGAAGGAAGTCGCAAAGTGACTCTTGCGATGGAAAGACCCTCCGGCCCCCTTTTCCTGCTGCTTCCCTAATTAGTCTGATTAGTTCTGGGCATGGCAAGGGATGAGGGCACCTGCTGGCCGCCGGGTGACACTGCTGTCCCCTGCCCTCATCCTGATCCAGCTGCGGGAGCACCTGGCCAAGGGGCAGCGAGTGCTGGCGGGTGAGGGCATGTCGCAGGTGGTGCGCAGCCTGCTGGAGCTGATGGCCCGCAAGACCTACTACAGCGGGGACCTGCTCTTCTCCGTCGAGATCCTGCGCAACGTCACCGACACCTTCAAGAGAGCCACCTACATCCCGTCCTCTGAGGATGTGCAGGTAGGATGGGGGCACTGCTGGGTGCTGGTGGGGATGGTGGTTGTCCACCCCCGGTGCCACTGAGCCCCGTCCCTGCAGCGCTTCTTCCAGGTGGTGAGCTACATGGTTGATGCAGAGAACAGGGACAAGTGGGAGGACGCACAGCAGGTGAGCAGCGTGGCCGTTTGTCCCCACGAGGTGCCCCTACGGTGTCCCATGGGGGGGATGTACGCCAAGCTGCCTGCTGCCCACAGGTCTCTCCCGGCTCCGTGCACCTGATGAAGGTGGTGGAGGACTTCATCCACCTGGTGGGGGATGCACTCAAGGCGTTCCAGAGCTCGCTCATTGTCACCGACAACCTGGGTGAGCGACGGGCAGTGGGGTGGGATGGGTGGGGGTCCTGGGGTGGGGGGTCCTGGGGTGGGGGGTCCTGGAGATGACACCTGCTGTGCTCACAGTGATCAGCATCCAGCGTGAGCCCGTCTCTGCCGTGTCCAGCGACATCAACTTCCCCATGAAGGGCCGTCGGGGCATGAAGGACTGGGCACGCAGCTCTGAGGACAAACTCTTCATCCCCAGGGAGGTGCTGAGCCTCGCCTCTGCCGGTACGGGGGTGGGCAGGGGAGGGAGTGTGCACACGTGTGTGCAAGTGGATGAGCGTAGGCATCCTGGAGTCTGCACCGGTGTATGTGCATGTCTGAGCCAGCATGGGTGTGAGCACGCTCTTGCCTCTTTGTGCACATACATGTGAGGGCGCACACGTGAGAACGTGCCTCTCTGGCTGTGTGAGCAGACGTGTGAGGACATGTGAGTGTGCACCTGACCCTTTGTGAGTGTGTCCATATGTGCACGTGGCTGAGCATGCACGTCCAGGAGTCTGTGTCAGCACGAGTGTGCACGTATGTGAATGCATGACTGAGCGCACAGCTGCAAGTGTGCACGCGTGTGCAGGTGGCATGATGCCTGCTCATGTTGCCTGCTTATCTGCTGGAGAGCAGCGTGTGCCTGTGCTGCAGGGCCGTGTGCTCCCTCCTGCGTGTCCCAGCAGCTGTGTGTGCCTGCTGGGTGCATGTCTGCAATGCATGCACACACGTGTGCTGGGCAATGGCTCTGCTCCTCCCTGCACTGCAGCACCGCTCTCCGTCCCCTCTGCAGAGCTGGATGAGTCGTCCCACTTTGTCATCGGGGCCGTGCTGTACCGCACGCTGGGACTCATCCTGCCGCCCCCCAGGTGAGTGGGGCTGTCCCCGTGTCCCCCTGTCTTCATGTCCCCCTGTCCCCATGTCCCTGTGTCCCCACCGCAGCTGCCTGCTCCCCACAGGACCCCGCTGGCCGTCACCTCCAAAGTGCTGATGGTGACGGTGCGCCCACCCACCAGGCCCTCCGAGCCCCTTGTGCTGGTGGAGCTCTCCCACATCATCAATGTGAGTGTCCCCTCAGCCCCTCCTGCCCCATGTGGGGATGGGCACCCCGTGGGGCCGGGTCCAACCCGTCCGTCTGTCCATCCACAGGGCACATCCCATCCGCAGTGCGTCACCTGGGACTACTCAAGGAAGTGAGTGGGGCACAGGGATGGGGTGGGGGGGGGAGGTGCTGTTCCCATGGCCCCAGAGGCACCGTGGGGAGTGGGGCCAGTGCCATCCCACGCTGAGCCCCTCTGGCTGGGGGATAATTTTGCCGGTGCGGGTATCGATTTGCTTCAGCATGACGCTGGAGACAGCTGCCTACAGCCTGCCAGATGCAATTTGTTAGCGCAGTGCTTGCTGCTGTGGCAGGAGAGAGGAAAAGTAGGGCACGGTGGGGGGGGGGGCTGCATCGTGGGGTTGGACACAGCACCCCTGGGCACCCTGCACCTTGGCATCCCTGGTGCCAGGACAGCCCCACTGGTGCTGGGGGGCTGGTGCTGGCAGGAGATGTGCCGTGGTGATGGCTGTGGCTGTGATGAGCGCGGTGGGTCTCAGCCCAGCATGGGGACACATGTTCCCAGCTGTGCCACAGACCCACAGCTCAGTCCCCTCTGCCCTATGCAAGTGGCACAGCATCCCCATGGGCTCCCCATCCCAGCACTGCCTCTTGCAGGGCATTGGCCCCACAGTTGCAGAGGGGGAGCATTTGCCCCCCTGAATTTGAGTTTGCAGAGGGTGTTCCTGCGCCAGGTGCTGGGGAGCCCCAGGACTGCTTACACCCATCCCTCCAGGCCTGGACCCCTCTGTCTGGCTGTCCCCCCCCAGCCTGGATGGGACGATTGCAGACTGAGGCTCCAGGGGGGGATCAGCGCTTCATGCCATGCCTCGCACCCCAGGCGCTCACCCTGGGGGGGTGAGTGAAGGGTTAATCCAGAGCTGCGAGGGGCTGTGCGGTGGTTTGATCAAATTGCTCTCTCCCTCTTGTGCTTGTCCCATTAATCAGCGATGCTGGCTTGGGAAACTGGGACACGGAGAGCTGCCAAACCCTGGAGACCCTTCCAGCACACACCAAATGCCAGTGCCGCCGGCTCGCCACCTTCGCCATCGTCGCACAGCTGCCCAAAGACCTGGTAGGGGACAGCGGGTGGGGATGGGGACAGCAGGTGGGGATGGGAACGTTGCAGGGCACGGCTGAACGGGAGTCCTGGGGTGGGGGTGAGGAGGTGTCGCGGCCGTGGCACTGAGGGGGGGTGCAATGGGGGATGTCAGAGCCAGAGGGGGGGGGGGTTTCCCCACTGTTTGGGATCCTGGAGTCCCAGGGATGCGCTCAGGTGGCGTGGGCTCTGTTTAGGGGATGGGTCTCAACCCTTGTGGCATAAGGCCCCTGCCCTATTGCTATTCTGCCCACATCCCCCGTTGACATGGAGATGGGCACGGGTCCCCAGGAAGGTGCCTTGGCCACACCATTGCCACCGCCCACATGCTCAGGGGGTCCCCAGTGGGAGCAGAGGGGTCCAGCAGGGAGCTGCCAATGGGAGGCTGGGCTGAGCCTCTCCCTCCTTTCCCCTTCAGGCCATGGACCCCTCGGGCAGCCCGTCGGTGCCGCTGATGATCGGCTGTGCTGTGTCCTGCATGGCCCTGCTGACGCTGCTGGTGATCTACGCTGCGTTCTGGAGGTGAGCATCCAGTCGGGTGGGGGACTGGGGGGCACCCAAGGCATGACAGAGGTGGGGAGTGGGGTGGGAAGGGGGCACAGCATGAGCAATGGGATCAGCTCGATGTGATGCCATGCAGGGAAAGGTGAATGTCAGGATAGGGTTACGGTTGGGGTTAGGGTGGGCACCATCCCTGAGTCGGGGCAGCTCATGCAGCAGTTTGGAGACATGGGACGGGAAGGGGACGGGGAGGGGACAGTCCAACCCCCCAGCCCCACACCTCTCTGCCCCCAGGTTCATCAAGTCAGAGCGCTCCATCATTCTGCTCAACTTCTGCGTCTCCATCCTGGCCTCCAACGTCCTCATCCTCGTGGGGCAGACCCAGATGCTCAGCAAGGTGGGCATCTCACCACACCCCCCACGCGCTGCGTCCCACCCCCAACTCCCAGATTGGATTTGGATTAACTCAATCTCGAGATTAAACGCCTTGTGTGACGGCTTTGGCGCAACCCTCACCGCGGGCACAGGATGTTAACCGCCGCCGCGCCGCATCCCCTGAAATTCCCCGTGTCCCCGCAGGGCGTTTGCACCATGACGGCCGCCTTCCTCCACTTCTTCTTCCTCTCATCCTTCTGCTGGGTGCTGACGGAGGCCTGGCAGTCCTACCTGGCGGTGATCGGCCGCATCCGGACACGCCTGGTCAGGAAGCGCTTCCTGTGCTTGGGATGGGGTAAGGGCTGGCGGGATGGAGGATGGGGCACCGTGCGACTTTCCCATTCCCCGCGGGGTTGTTGGAGCCCTCGTAAGGAATAGAGGCAAGGCGGAGAGCAGCGTGGCCCCACTTGGCTTGTGTTCCCTGTCCCCATCCATTGGGGCTGTCATGGAGGGGGGGCCAGGGGCACAGCACCTCCCTCCCTTCTCCAGGTTTGCCAGCACTCGTGGTCGCCGTCTCCGTTGGCTTCACACGGACCAAAGGCTATGGGACGGCAAGCTAGTACGTGGGGAAGGGGGGCACCAGGCTGGGGATGGGGATGGGGAGCGGGTGGGGGCATCCCCTCCCCACACCCCTGACCCCCCCCGGTCCCCGCAGCTGCTGGCTCTCACTGGAGGGCGGTCTGCTCTACGCCTTCGTGGGACCCGCAGCCGTCATTGTGCTGGTAGGAAGGACCCCTGCGGACCCCAGACCCTTCCTGTGTGTCGTGGGGGCCGTGATGCCCTAACCCTGGCTCCGCTCCCCCCAAGGTGAACATGCTGGTGGGCATCATCGTCTTCAACAAGCTCATGTCCCGCGACGGCATTTCAGATAAGTCCAAAAAGCAGCGAGCTGGGTAAGTGCCCTGCGCCTGGCGGGACTGTGCGGGGCCGGCGCGGAGCCCCCTGCCCTGCTGTGGGGCTGGGGGCTGCGGGGGCTCATGGGCACGGGGTTAGCATGGAGCAGAATTTGTCACACCGGTGGGAGGTGGGACTGAGGCTGGAGCAGCCCTTTTGCAGGGGGCTTTGGGGGCAGCGCATGGGGAGGGGGCTGTCACCCCAGGGAGAGGGGCTGTGGACCCCCCTTGCTGCCGCTTGGCCACCGCTGCAAATCATTAACAGCTCTGCCGCCCCAACTAACCCTCTTTCTATTTCTTTTTCTCTCTCCATTTGCTTTCTGCCCACGTCCATCCATCCGTCTGTCCATCCATCTGTCCCTCCCGCTGCCCCCCTGCCTTGTTGTCCCCTCCTGCCCCCCCCTGCGTGGCCCGCTCCTGGCCGCGGGGTGCCGGGGGGGTGGTGGGCACGTAGCTCGAAGCCCCCCCCCCTGCGGCAGCCTGCTGCTGAAATGCACCAAGTGCGGCGTGGTGTCCAGCGCGGCCATGACCTCCGCCACCGCCAGCAGCGCCATGTTAGTGCCCGCCACGCGCCCGCTGCGTCCCCACCCCGAGCACAGCCTGGACCGGGGTGGGAGGAGGGGGGGTCGGTACTTGGGGTGGGTGCTGGGCACCCCCGTGGGGTCAGGGATGGGGTGTGAGACAAGGCTGTGTGCTCGGGGCGGCCCCGGGCGCGGGGTCGCGTGCCCCCTGCAGCCATCCCCCCACATGGCATGGCTTCTGCCATCACCTCATCGCCGGGGTCGGGGCATGGGGGCTCTGCTCCTCCCGCTTGGAGTGTGGGGATTGGGGGAGGGCAGCATGGGAGCCCTTTCCTGGCGCTGAGACCCCGGGTGCTGGTGGGACCCCTATCCACCTGACGTCCCTATTGCAGGGGACGCATCCCCAAAAGGCAGTGCCAAATACCTCCCTTTGTTCTACGGGAGGGTGAGGGCCACCCCGCGGCCCCCAGCGCCCTGGGACTGATGGGGGGACAAGGAGCTCCCATGACCCTCACCCACACGTGGGTGAGCACCGGACTGGGGACCATGGCCAAGAAAAAGGGGACCCGGGGGAGTGCTCGGATGCTGCACGTGTGGGTGCAGCAGTCGGGGAGCAGTCGGGGTCTCGGGGCTGTGTCAGTGCGCCCCTCCGGTGGGCTCACCCCCTGCCCTCTCTCCCTGCCCCAGGGCATCGCTGTGGAGCTCCTGCGTGGTCCTTCCCCTGCTGGCGCTGACCTGGATGTCGGCCGTGCTCGCCATGACCGACCGGCGCTCCATCCTCTTCCAGGTCCTCTTCGCCGTCTTCAACTCCGTCCAGGGCTTCGTCATCATCACTGTGCACGGCTTCCTGCGCCGAGAGGTGGGCCAGGGGCGCGGGGGCACCCCACTGCCTGCGGGGGACCCCCATCACCGGCTGTGTCCCCGCAGGTCCAGGACGTGGTGAAGTGTCAGATAGGGGTGTGCAGGAGCGAGGAGAATGAAAACTCGCCCGACTCCTGCAAGAATGGGCAGGTGCAGATCCTGGTGAGCGCGGCAGCGCCAGCGCGGAGCAGGCAGGGACCCCCGTGTGCCCCGCAGGTCCCCAAGATGCATTCACTTCCCCACCTCTCTCTCTCTTCTCTCTTTCTCTTTCCCTTTCCCCCTCTTTCTGTGTTTTTATAGACAGATTTTGAAAAGGACGTTGACCTGGCATGTCAGACAGGTGAGGGCTCCCTGTGCCGTGCGCGGGGGTTGGGGACATCGCCGCTCCATGCCATGGAGAGGGCACGATGCTGATGTGATGCCAGCATGTGGGGGCTTGCTCCTTGTCCCCCACCCACCCAGAGGACCCCCTCCAACCCCCTGTCTGCCCGCAGTGCTCTTCAAGGAGGTGAACACCTGCAACCCTGCCACCATCACTGGCACTTTGTCGCGCATTTCGCTGGACGGCGACGAAGACCCCAAGCTCAACACCAGCTCAGAGGGCAATTTGGGCTTCTCCAGCCTGCCGGGCAACATCCCCACCGCCAGCATCCTGGTGCAGGTGCCCAAGATGACACCCAACGTGGTGGCCGGTTTGGAGCTGGGCGAGCCGCCGGCGCAGCTGGAGGCACAGGGTCCTGTCTACCTGTGCACCGAGAGCAGCCTGCGGCCCCTGGAGTACGGCTGGCTGCGGGCGCCGGAGCCGCCAAGGGAGAGCGATTATATGGTGCTGCCACGCCGCAGCCTGCAGCCCTTCCAGCGCGAGGAGGGGCCCAGCACTGAGGAAGGGACCCCCCGTCCCACCGGGGCAGGAGAAGGGGATTCCTACCCCGGCTTTGTCTCGGTGGAGCACGTCAACGTGAACCTGAGCCAGCCCTACGGGACGGTGAAGCACCCCTACGGGCTGCAGTTCAAGCAGCACCCCACGGTGCGGCAGATCCTGGCGTCGGAGCTGTCGGAGCGCAGCCGCACCATGCCGCGCACCGTGCCTGGCTCTGCCATGAAAGTGGGGTCCCTGGAGGTGAGCGGGAAGTGAGGAGGGGCGCAGGGCTGGGTGTGCTGGGGGATGTGTGTGCGTGGGGAGGGAAGCAGTGGGGAGAAGGGTGGTGAGCGTGCATGAGCATATATGTGTGTGCCAAGGGCTGCAGAGCTGCCCTGTTCCCGTGCTCCCTGCCTGGCACCTGCTGTGTGGGGATGGCTGTGTGACGCCCGAGGCTCTGCCTTGGCCTGCAAAGACCTTTCCTTGTTCTTGTCCCTCTCCTCCCCACTGCTCTGTGCATCCCCCCCCCAGAGGAAGAGGTTGCGGTACTCCGACCTGGATTTCGAGGTGAGCGGTGGCAGCGGGCTGTGGTGGGGCAGGGACCCTCAGCTGTGCCACGTGGAGCAGATGGGGCAGAGCCAGGCTGTAAAAACATCACACCGGGCACTGCAGAACGCTGACTGCCCGTCAGATCTCCAGCACTGGGTGGGAACATTTTGGTTTGGTGGGATGGGATGTCGCTCACAGCCGGACTGTCCCTGGGTGTCCCCAAGTGGCAGCTGTGCACCCATGGGTGTGGGTGCGTGTGCTGAGGACTCTTCTCTCCCCTGCAGAAGGTGATGCACACTCGGAAGCGTCACTCTGAGCTCTATCATGAGCTCAACCAGAAGTTCCACACGCTGGACCGGTACCGGGCGCCAGCTGCTGGCACCATCAAGGTGAGCTCTGGGCTCCAGCAGAGCTGGGCACTCAGGGGGGATGTGGGATCCTGGGCTGGGGGGGGGCTGTGGGGCTGAGTGCTGCCTCTTTCTGCAGCGAGAAAAGCGATGGAGCGTCTCATCAGGCGGTGGGGAGAAGAGCGTGGCCACTGTAAGTGCGGGGCTGTGTGTGGACAGGGATGCAGGGGCACGGGTGGCTGTGCCCCCTATAGGGCTGGAGCTGTGCAGTGCCACACACCGCAGCCCCGCTCACCCCGCAGGACACCGCTGGCCCCGAGGACCCGCAGCCGCCGGCCGCGCCGCCCAAGCCCTGGAGCACATTCAAGGCGATGACTCTGGGTTCGCTGCCCAGCGCTCACCGGGACCGCCTGGAGCTGCGCTGTGCGGACTGGGAGGGCCCCTGCGCTGGTCTGGATGCGGCCGATGGGGACTTCCAGACGGAGGTGTGAGCCCCGCGCAGGACCAGCTCGGACGCTGTGTTACTCCGTCCTCCTCTGCGCCCGGGGGGATCCCAGCCGTCGGAGCCATCCCCGCGGGGGGACCGCGCACCCCACACTCACCCACCGCTCACTTGCGCACCCTCCCGGCCCCCCCCGGGCAGGACCGGCCGCCGAGGCCCTGGCATCTCCGTTCTTTTCTACCGGGATGTTTCTTCACGCAGTGCACCGTGTGCACGTGCGCGGCGGCCCCGGGCACCCCACGCCCCCCACGCTGGGTAGTGGAACCGTGGCCGGGCGCCCTCGCCCCGTGGCCGCCCCCTCCCAGCCGTCCCCGCCGTCCCCACCCCACGGGGCAGGTGCTGTCGTTGTTGGAAATAAAAGTTCACTCTCTGTGGAGCCGCGGGGCCGCCACGCGGTGCTTCGTGTGCCACCTACGGCCCGCGGGATGGCGCTCGCTGGGGACGCGTCTGTCCCAGCCCTGCCTGCTGTGCCCTGGATCCTGATTGCATCTCAGCCCACCCTGACGCACTGCTGTGCAAATGAGAGCAGGAGCTGAGGGTGCTGAATGACACGGTAATTAATCTGCGAGCAAACTTTGGAGGCAGCTGGTGCCTGGGGCAGGGACAGGGGCACAGTCTGAGGAGGAGCAGAGATGGGGCCCGAGGGGAGGACCGTCTGTGTGCTGCAACCATGGGGAGCTGCACAGTGCAGGGGCAGGATGCAGACCCCCGGAGCGCGGGTCTCTCATCCCCTGGTCGTCCCACTGAGCACTGACTGCATGGCCCAGCTTATCCCACTGCTGGCTGGTTTGGCTGCTGGGCTGCAGGCTGCGTGCTGGGAGCGAGGCAGCGCTGGGCTGGGGCCAACTCCAGTTGTGCAACACTGGGGACCGCAGCCTCGGTGCAGGGGGTGCAGCTGGGGTTTCCAGGGCACTGCTGCAGGATGGGGGCACGAAGCCCCCTGACACCACGCGCTGCTCTCTGGGTCACGGCGCTCATTGCTCAGAACAGCAGCCATGTCCTCACGCTCTGGTTGCTTGCTGTTCTCTCCACCACCCCACATCCAGCCCAGCCCAAACTTTAGGGCCGGCTCTGGTTCCTATCTTTCCCTTCCCAGCCCCAGGCAGCAGCAAGCAGCAGCGGCAGGCAGTCCTGGGGCATCTGGTGGCAATTAGCAGCTTTCATTACTCATGGAGACGCCATATGGGTGAGGGAACGGAGCCCGCCCTGGCGGTGCAGGATTGCAAAGGGGATGGGAGGGAGTGACGTTCCGTAGGGCTGGGGATGCGTAGGAGGGAGCGCGGGGGTCTTCAGCCCCAAATCCCGTTGGTGGGTGCACGAGGTGTGAGTGGCGTCCGGGGGAAGAGGCTTGGAGAGCATCGCAGCCATTTTCCATCTGAGCCGCTGTGCGCCACAAAGACCCGTGCCAAAAATGTTTGGTTTTCGGGGGGGCGGAAACGATGGAGAAAACACTGCGATGCTGAGCAGCCGGCACGGAAAGTTCCTCTGCTCGGGTTTGAGCGCCTCCGCCTTTGTGGCGAAGCACTTCCACCAGAAGAGACAAAGCTGCTGCTCCAGCGCCACAAACCCGGAATTCACACCGCAGGAATTCCGGGCTGGCACGAGCAAGGGGTGGAGGCGGGGAGCCCCGCGGTGACGACGCTGCACCGCATGACGCTCCATCGGAGGCAAATTGTCTCCAGCTTGAAAATTGCAGCGCTCTGCTCGGGTTTCTTGGCCGCTGGTGCTGCTGATTCTTGGAAATCCAACTCGCCTCGGCGCTTCCCGGGGGCCCGCGGTCTCTTCCCATCCTTGCTCCGGGGGGATGGTGGGGGGATGTTTGCTCCCTCAGTGGAGCTTGAGGCCACCATCCCCACGGAGCCTTTGGCAGAAGGCAGCAAAAAGCCATCCCTGAGCCTGCCCCATAGCTGGAGGAGCAGGATGCAGCCTCCTGCCCCACGTGCTGGCATGGAATGGCACAGAGCTGCGGTTACCTCTGTGCTGTGGCTGTCCCCGCGCTCTCGATGCCAGCAGAGTCACTTTGTGCCACCGCACCGGGAACAACCGACCAGAACGGGAAAATTGAGGCACAGTGGGACCACCCCCAACACGACCCACAGCTGTGCCAGCAGCACCGAGGGGTGAGAGGACGCGCCCAGGCTGCAGCCAGGTGCCGGAGCCCTGCTCGAACCCGCATGGAGCCGCTGGGAGGCTCTGCAAAGAGAGCAGCTCAGAGTGAATAATCACCCACTAAAAAGGAATGATAAAAGTTTCGTGATGTTTCATACCCACTTGCTTTAATTAGCCTTAATTGCTACAGTAGGCAAGCTGCAGATGAACTGAGCGCTCTGTCACCGCATCTCAGGGGCTGCCGGGTGGATAAACGGCACCGCACCGCTCCAGCAGCAGCGCTGCCTGCTCTGCCCCAGACAGCTTATTTACTGCGGGCTGAATAAATATCAGTTGTTAATTAGAGCGCGCTTATTGAGATGCATGCGTCCCTAACACACATTTGTAAAGCTTCAGTGTAAATAGATTCGTCCTAATTTGGGAGGGAAGCGGTAGAGCAGAGGCGCGGAGGTGCTGCGTTGCAGTGGGGTGAGGGGACGCAGGGGATGCCTGGGGCTGATGCGCAGCTCGTGGGGAGCAGTGCTGTCCCGTGGGGTCTGCGTGTGGGTCCCAGGGCTGGGCCTGAGGGAATTGTGAGCGCAGGGGCATCCCGGGAGGACGCCGTGCTCCCCACACTGCTGCATTTCGGGCCAGCGACGGCTGTCACTGATGCCAGCACCTGGGTCACCCTCTGTGCCTCAGTGTCCCCCCGTGCCCCACTGTCCCAATGTCCTCTCTGTGCTCCAGTATCCTCCCGCACCACGACGTCCCCCCGGTGCCTCAGTTGTGTTGCAGTGCCCCAATGTCCCTCTTTGCCCCCGTGTCTCAGTGTCCCCAGGGGACGAGGAGCCGCTTCCCATGGACAGGAGCAGAGCGCGGGGCTCGCTTCCCCAGGACACCTCGGGCGGGGGGGGACAATGGGAAGGGAGCGGAGGACGGTGTGCCGTTACCGGGACCCCCGCTGGGGGGCGGCCCGGCCAGGAGGGAGAGGAGGAAGGAGGGAGGCGAAGGAGGGCGGTGGTTCTGCCCTACCCCCCCGCCCCGTGCAGGGGAGGAGGAGGGCGGGCAGCGGCCGGGGGCGGCTCGGGCTCCCCCCGGAGGGAGGCGGGGAAGGCGGCGGCGGGGGCGGACGGACGGTCGGACGGTCGGACGGAGCGCAGCGCCCGGAGCTCAGCGCCCGGCCCGAGCCGCACCGAGCCCGGCAGGTGAGCTCCAGGCAGCGGGCGGGGGAGGGCGGTGCTCCGAACCGGGATTGATCCGCGTCCTGGGAATGGGGAGCGGAGACCGGGACAGGACGGGGCACGGCAGGAGCCGGGCTGCTGGCTTGTGAAGTCGGGGTGCAGGGGTGCGATGTTGGGGCTGTTGAGGAAACGATGGCACAGAGTCGGGGTGCGGTGCTATGATGTCGGGATTTAGGGGCATAAAGTGGGGATAGAGGGGTATAAAATCGGGGTGCGGGGGTGTAGGGTTGGAATGCAGCGTGATAAAGTTGGGATGCGGTGTTATGAAGTCGGGGTAGAAGGGCAGCAAAGCCGGGATGCAGAAGTGGCAAAGCCGAGACGCGGTGGTGTCGGGTCGGGCTGCAGCGCTGTGAGGTTGGAGTGCAGGGCTGCAAGGGAGAGCGCGACTACAACAGAGCCGAGGGTGTAAAGTCGCGGTGCAGGGGGATGAAGCGGGGGTGCGGGGGGTCCTGTGCGTGTCCCACCCGGCAATGGGGAGCAGTGGGGAGCGGGGCAGCAGCCTCGTGCTGTTTCACAGCCTTGCTTCGTGGCAGGAAGCGGGCGG